CGACGTGCAGCAGCAGGACTGCGAGGGGTGCCGTCCCGGCTGAGAGCAGCTTCTCCGTACCACCCACACGTCCCAGGAGCTCAGCCACTGGACGGCAATCTAAATTAAAGTCGTTCGTTAGTTCCCTGTAAACATTTAGGACAAACTATTTTTAAAAATATTCAGGAGAGGCCAGCAGGCGATACGGTGGTTAAGGCACTAGACTCCCGCAAGGTCGACTGTGGTTTGAGTCCTGCACGGGGCGGCTTGAAACTCATAGCAGGCACATGTGCCTGTGTGCCCAAAACCCTGAGAGGAGAATGGAGGGGCAGGGCCTGCGGCATCGCCATCCCCTGGTGGGCATTTTCACTCTGTCTCTCCAGTGAGCGCACACGCCGTATATCAAAAATCTCTCAAAAAAGAAAACAGCGTGGGAGCTTCAGCTAGTGGCAGTGGTTCAAATCTCTGTGCTTCCTCCAGACCATGCTCCTGCTGGAAGTCTCCATCACGTTCACACTCCCTGTCACTCCACCCGGTTCAGGTGTGGCCGGGAGAGGAGAGCATGAAACAGGGGAAGTGAGAAGTCTGCTCTCCCTCAGGCTCAGGGGGGCTGAGACCCGTCCCGTCATGCAAGCCCTGGACAGGGCTGGGCGCACGTTGCCCACAAAGCCACCAGTGTGGGCGGAGCCGAACATGGTTGATAAGGACCCATGTTCTTCATAGGCCGGGGAGCCCCTTCCCCAGAGGCTGGACATTGTAGCATCCGAGCGCGTGTCACCGAGCAGTAAAACTAGGGGCCGAAGCCAGAGCACGTTTCATTCCAACAGTGCAAATCCAGGCCGGCCATGGGTGTCCTGTGCGAGTGGGCTGGCGAGGAGCCACGACTGCAGAGGCTGCCCCTGGCTGCCCGCCCCTCAGGGTGAGTGGTCCCCACTCCTAGCCGCTACCTGATTTGAGTCCATGGACACCCAGACAGCACTGCCGCAGCGGGTCGGAGCAGCTCTGGCCACAGTGCACTCTGGGGGTAGGTCTTCAGTGACCTGCGGTGATATTAGGAAGCATTGGCCCAGAATGAGCAAAGGCACCGAGCAGTCAGGCTGTGCCTGGGACCTACAGAGCAACACAGCCCCGCGGGCGTGTACCGATGGGCTGGGCTCAGCCAGGCTGGTCCGCCGCTGCCTGGCTGCTCTTTGGCTGCCGTGTGACCTGCCTGGGCACCTGGCCTGCCTGTGCCTTGTGTCCAAATCGGTAGACTGGCAGTCATGGTCACAAGGGCCACCTGGCTAGGCTGTGAGTGTCGGGCATGTGGCACTGGGCAGTACTTTCCCTTCTTTCCCGGCCCTCCCCCGGCCCCCGTGGTTGGAATACGTCTGTCCTCCACCCTTTGGGTTCCATATGTGTGCACATCACCTCTCTGCTCTGGACTATTTTTTCCCTGTTCCCTTTTTGCCATCTTCCCTCCCCCACTCTCAAGCAGCCCTTCTGGGCTTTTCTATTCTGTCCAAACCCCCGCATCCCCCAGCCATTGTCCTCCCCGACAGCGGAGCCCAGCAGCACGTGCTCTGGGTGGGCCTGAGTGATGGCAGGGTTCCTGGGCTCTCTGTCCTTCTCCAGGCTGGCATGCAGGTTGACTTAGTCCCCATCACGGCCAGGGCGACACAGAACCCCTCGTTAGCACCCCCTTCCCTGGCCTGCATCTGCCAGCCTCATAGGCAGGCACTACCTGCACCCACACTCCGCCACGCTCATCCCCTCGTAGTGGTACTTGAGGGTGGGCACGCCCATGTCGTCCTTGTAGAGGATGGAGATGGGGCTGAGTTTGGTGGGCACGCAGCAGGCTTTGCCCACCTTGGTGGGGAACTTGAGGTGCACCAGGGTCTGCACGATGGCATGCTTGGTCGGCGTCACGTCATCCGCCAGGGGGAAGAAGCAGCCGCCCTTGCACTCAAAGGCGTCGTACTCCTTGGGCGCGATGATCCAGCTGTCCCAGCCAATGTCCTCAAAGTTCACGCGCAGGGAGGTCTTCTGACAGTGGCTGCTGGTCCCGGTGCTCCTTCTCCGCCTGGCTAGAGATGACCCCGTGGCCGTGTGGCTGTCCATGTCCTCCTCCATGCCGTGGCTGTTCTTGGACAGCCCCTGGAGCACGCTGTCCTGCTCATGGCCCACCATCTCCCTGAGCTCCAGCCTGGTCTCCTTGGTCCCGTTGCTGCGGTCGTTGGAGAAGACAACGAAGAAGGGCAGGTTCTTGGAACCCGGGGGCACACTGATGTCCAGCTTGTCACAGCCCTTCCTGTGGCTCTCCACGGTCACTTCCAGCTTGTTCTTGCTTGTGGTGGCGTCCGCCCTGGCCCACCGCTTCACGGCACTGGACACTTCCAGGCTTTCCCAGCCCTCGTCCCGGATGTCCTGGGATGCCAGGAAGGTCCTGGTCCCTGCGGTGGCGTCCCAAGCGCCCGCTCCGTCCAGAACGTCGTAAATGGCCACGTGGCCTTTCAGCCCATGAAAGGAGTCCACGTGGTTTTGGCAGGAAACGTAAAGTCGGAGTTCAGCCCTGGTGACCTGCTCGTGCCTGGGGATGGAGACGTTGAAGAGCAGGACGTGTTTCTGGAAGGGGGCGTCTTCCGTGGCGGCTATGGAGACGGCACCTGCAACACAAGCACACAGAGGGCCGTTCTCATGGTGCCAGAGGAGCCTCAGTCTGGGTGACGGGCACCAGGCGGCAGCTTTGTCTACTGTCGCTTGGTCTCACTTAGACCCCTAGGGCAGAAGTCTATTCTGAAAGGTACATTCAGGGTCTCCCCAAACAAGCAGAGGCAGGAGATGCCGCTAGCCAGGGTCAGGTCCTGTTGTGTATTGAACATCTACCATGAGGGGACTTCAAAAGGCTCATGGAAAACAGAATTAAACTACAGGTTTATTTCATGCAGAAAGACTCTGGGACCCATACATTTTTTTCGGTCGTACTCATTTTCCGCGGATGTGCCAGGCACCACGCTGGCAGCCCTGTGTGATACGCTTTAATCCCCATGCTCAGCTCTGGGAGGGTCTGAGTTTATCCACTTTTACATAAGCAGGGACTGGGCCTCGGGGGGCCAAACTGCCAGAGCGCACGCCACTAGGCAGTGTCCTTGTGTCGGGCCATGCAAATGCACATGCCTAGTGACGGCCCTGAGTGAGTTTAAAGGGGAGGTCCCGGGAGAGGACAGGAAGCCCATCGTAAGGTGGTGGGCAAGCTCAGCACTGGGTGGCATTGTCACCGCGCAGAACTAAATTCCAAGCAAAGTGAAAGTGGATTTTTTTTTTTTTTTGCATTTGAGAGGAAAAAAACACATTTGCTTCAATTACTTTGTCATGTCACGTCAGGCAAGACTGAGGTCCCCCTGCAGTCACATAGCTGCCCCAGGTTCCCACTGCTGGGCTGACGCGGGGCCATGGGCACACTCCTGGGGCACCACGGCTTGTTCACAGAGGAGGGCGTGCTCCGAGCACTGCCTTGTCAGTGTGGGGGGCCTGCTCTGTCCTGGACCCTGGCAGGCTGAAATGCCCGTCTGGTCTCTGCCCTCTGCTGGGCTTGTCACCTTGTGAAGCCCTGAGTGGCTGGGTGCCTCATTTTCCTCATCTGGCAAATGGGGCGTCTCACACCTGCCCCCACGGTTGGTGTGAGGCGTGGACGAGGTGGCACATGGGGCACACGGGACACCACCCCGGCCCACAGCACATGCCCGATCAGTATTCTGTACCCACCCCACGACTGTGGCGGCATGGTGACCACCGCCGCTCCCACGGGGTGTGGGGAGCCGCCGTGACCTGCAGGAACAGTGAGAGTGGGTGTGCCAGCCGTGGGCTCCTCCCCCATGTGCTCTTGCAGCAACACGCCTCTGAGACTGCAGTCAGACACTGGGGGACAAGCACCCCTCCCGGGCTGCCGCTGGCCATCCGTGAGGGGTCCCCAGGAGTGCTGGGCAGGGTCAGAGTCTCCTGGACGGGCATGCTGCTGTGTGTGTGTGTGTGTGTGTGTGTGTGTGTGTGTGCTGGAGAGGCTCCAGATACCGGACTCCAGGGCCTGTGGGGCTGGCGACTTAGGCCATGGTCAAAGGAACCAGCCCTTCCCTAAGGTGCAGTTATGGCCATGGCTCGTGGGCCTGGTGAGATGTTGGCCACACCTGGGTGGCCTGCGGGTTGCATTGTTTTCTCTTATAACATAGAGCCATGGTTTTAAAGCTCCAGTCCACATAAAATCCAGATTTTCTTCTCTGGACTATCAGACCATGCGTACTGGACGCACCTAGTGAC